AGTGACAAGAAGTCAGAAAAATAACAGGAGGGTTGCAGAAAGGCTCTGCTGAGGACAATTCCATAAATGTTGTGTGTGCTCAACCAGTACCAAGCAGCAGCTCCTGACTTGCGTGCCTGCAGGGCCAGGCACAGCCTACTTTCCTTGTGTCTGTCCTCAGAAATACTCAGATTCAAGAGAAGCTCACTTGCTGGGAGATGCTGTGGACCTGAGTGGTGGCCAACAGCCTGGCCATGCTCCTGGGTCCTGCCAGCCTGGCTTGGGGTGAGGTGGAGACTCTCAGAGCTGCTCCATGTCTTCCCTAACTTGGGTCCTGCCTGTGCTGCTGCCAGCACCAAGTGCTGCACCTCTGGAGGTGACTGGGAAGCGAATCATGGATGTGGGTGGTGTTCAGGGACAACACCTGTGAACCTGAGGATGCTGTAGGTACTTCTGGCCTGAAGAAGGTGTTCTCTGCCAGTGTGGCAGTGACAATGGAAAGCACCTGCAGCAAAGTCTGGATGGATCCTAGTCCTGAGAGCTCAGTCTGTGGGGATACTGTGGCATAATTCATCTTCTTCCTTGTCAGCAAAGGGCTCACAGTGACACGGGTTCTGGAGAAGAGGGGTGTGCTTGAAAATTCCTTCCTGTCCTGCTGCCATTTCACCACTGACTGCAGCTGTTCTGTGTATGGGGATAGAAAAAAAGGTGTGTTTCTGCCTCAGCGAGTTTGTAGCAGATTTGTGACAGGAGAAGGATGTTTTGTTCCTCCAGATACAGCCACCAAGGCAGTTTATCCTCCTGTGTAGAGACTGCAGCTTTAGAAATTATTTGGGGGATACCAGAGCCAAAACAGGATTAAAACCTTCCCTAATGACCTGGGACTGCATTAGCATAGCCCTGTTGTCTTTTTGCCTTTTTTTTTGCCTTATCAGCACACAAATGCTGTGGCTGGAACAATGTTCTGTCCCTTTGTTTCTTGGTTTATGCATGTGAGTTTTTCAGGGGTGTCCTGCCCATTTTATGTTGCCTACTATGAAACTTTCTGATTGTCTTCCACCAGGGAATTCTCTTGGTGTATGACATCACTAATCGCTGGTCCTTTGATGGGATAGACCGATGGATAAAGGAAATAGATGAGGTAAGTGAATGGAAGAACACATGCAGTGATCTATAGCAGAGATGTGAGGAGGGATCACCCAAGGTGGGACCTGATACAGGGACAGGAGTGGCTCTGCTGTGGAGGGGATGTGATGGCAGTGCACTCATAACTGGAGCAAAGCAATAAGTGTCTGCCCTCTACTTCTGTGTAAATCTGGAGTAAGAAAGGCCTCAGGAATGGTCAAAAAAGACAGGAAAGTTCCCTCAGAAATGAATGGACTGGGAGGTGACAAATTAATCGTCCCCACCATACAGAGGTGCTGCTGGGCAGTCCCTCGGCCACAGAGCAGCTTCTGCTTCTTTCCCTTTGCTGCTATTGCAGAATTCTGGGTGTAGGCGTGATTTCTGCACTTCTTTCCTTGTTGCAGCACGCCCCAGGTGTCCCTCGGATCCTGGTGGGAAACAGGCTGCACCTGGCCTTCAAGCGGCAGGTGCCGACGGAGCAGGCGCGCGCCTACGCCGAGAAGAACTGCATGACCTTCTTCGAGGTGAGCCCCCTGTGCAACTTCAACGTCATCGAGTCCTTCACGGAGCTGTCCCGCATCGTCCTCATGCGGCACGGCATGGAGAAGATCTGGAGACCCAACCGAGGTCAGTGGGCACGGGGCTGCTCCGGGAGGGAGGTCTGGGCTCACGTGGGGCTGCCCAGGTGGGAGGTGTGCAGCTGTGGGAGCTGCATCCACCCAGTGTGGAGAAATGCCTCGGGCCACACAAGCTGAAGCTGAGCCAGGAGCTGCCTGTGCTGGGATGTAGGGATGGGCAGCTCCAGAGGGCAGTTCAGCATGTCTGGGACCTGAAGTGCTCTGGGGCGTCCTCCACCTTTCCACTTACTCTGGATGAGGCTGAGGGCAATTAAGCTCCCAGCTTGCAAGTACTTCAGTCAAGCGGCTGTGTGCGATAAATCCAGGTGTAAGCACTGCACTCCTTGCCCTTGCCTGAGCCTGTCTTCTTCATTTTGGAGGGAAACTGAGTGTTCCCAAGGAGCTGAAAGGGACTAAATCTCATCCCTGCTATCAGCATGCAACAGTGGGCTGGGTTATTCCATTTATCCAGGGATGTGTGCCACAGGAAGGGAAACCACAAGCAGATTCCATGTTACATCTCAGCCTGTTGAGTTTGAGGCAGAATAATCTCAGTTCCCACATTATGCTTGTCTGGAGGTAGCAGTGTGTCCCACTGCAGTCTGAGCAGCAGCAGATCTGTGTTTCTGAGGTGACCTGCTCTCATATGGACCTTCAGCTCCTGTTCACCAGGGTGAGAAAATCCTGTTTGCCAGCCCCAGTCACCAGATTTTCTGCCTGGGCTCCTGTCCCCAACCTGGCTGCCGTGCCTTGATCTGCAGGTCACAGAGGAGATGGTGGCCAGGGACTAGGCTGAATGCACAGACCTTTCCTGAATCTTTTCCAGAGGATTTGTAACTGCAGGCTGCCTGCTTGAGAATGGAAATGGAAAAAGGAAACTGCCTCAAATAGTGCCAGAGGAGGTTTAGATTAGACATTAGGGGAAATTTCCTCACAAAAAGGGTGGTCAGACACTTAAACAGGCTGCGTGGGGCAGCAGTGGAGTCACCACCTCTGGAAGTGTTCAAAACAGATGAAGATGTGGCACCTGGGGACAGTCGTTTATGGAGGTATTGGCAGTGCTGGGGGAATGCTTGGACTCGATGGTTTTAGGAGGCTTTTCTAACCGAAATGATTCTGTGATTCCATGAACAGGGGTGCTCCCTATCAGGGAATGGGGATCTGCCTGCTCGGGAATGGCAGCGAGGCTTTGGCAGCAGGCAGGCAGGAGGATAACGAGTGCCCTCGTGTGGCCCCTGGCTGGGAATTCCTCAGCAAGCAGAGAGGGACTTCCCAAAGCAGGCTCACATGGTGCACGCTGAGCTGGGAGGATGCTGAGAAGCTGGAGAGGGCAGAGTAGTGTTCTGGGTGTTTTGGCTTCTTGGGGTCTCTCTGGCATGGGGGTTCTGCAAAGAGCTGCCCCCTGAGCAGGTCCCAGGTGACACTGTCCTGTTGCAGGATTTGCTGACCCTGTTGCCTCTTTCCCAGGCACATCCTGGTTGCCAGAGGATGGTTGAGAAGCCAAGTGTCTGTCAGGAATGTGAGCCAGGCCCTGCCAGCCCTGGGTGCTGAGCAGAGCTGGCATTGCCTAACCCTGCGTTCACACCAAAGCTGGTGTCTGGCAAAGCACAAACCTCCAACAGCAGAGCTCGCCTTGATTTCCCAAATTTTTGTCCTAAATGTCCAGCTCCCTACTCTGGGCTCCTGCACAATCATTATTGACATATCTCCCTGAGGAGCTGGAGCTGTGCAGCGTAAGCAGTAGTTGTGGGGGAAGGGCATCCCAAGAGATCTCCTGGCCATTGACTGTGCGCTCCTTTCTCCCTCCAGTGTTCAGCTTACAGGACCTGTGCTGCCGAGCCATCGTGTCCTGCACCCCGGTGCACCTCATCGACAAACTGCCCTTGCCTGTCACCATCAAGAGCCACCTGAAATCCTTCTCCATGGCCAACGGGATGAACGCGGTGATGATGCACGGCCGCTCCTATTCCCTGGCCAGCAGCGGGGGCGGGAGCAGCAGCAAAGGGAACAGCTTGAAGAGATCCAAATCCATTCGGCCGCCCCAGAGCCCCCCACAGAACTGCTCACGCAACAACTGCAAGATCTCTTAGCAGGATGGGCACCCTGAGCTTGTGTCAGATCCACAGCCACCCACCGATGTACAGCTGTTTGCACACCGAACCCTTTCCCGCTGGATCCTTTCGGATGGGCCACGGTTGCTTTTCCAATGGCACGCACAAGCGTTAGGAATGTGCTCACGTTTTGGCTTGGCATAGGAAGAAGCATGGTGCCGGCTGGATCCCGCAGCGCTGGCGGGGAGAGATCTGCCAAGTGACCCTCCAAGAATGCTTTGGGCTTTGCCTCTCGGCCTGGGGTGGAAAATTCAGCAGCTGCCGGGTTGGGGAGGGGGGAAGGGGAAAAAAAGCTCATCCAGTCTCAATGGAGCAATGGATTTAATGGAAGATTGAGAGGCTTAAGGGAGTAGGCAAGGAGAGTCTGTGCTGCAACTTTAACTCTTGGCCTCCTGAACAGATTGCTGGTGCAATAGTGATCATTGGATGTAGACAAAAAGAAACAGGGACAGGGGACTAATGACAGTTTTCACCAGGATGTTAACCTGCTGTTGCCAAAAAAAACAGAAAACAAGGCAAGAGTTGGCCAATTGGAAAGGGGAAGGCAGCTCTCCATTCGCCGCCTTCGCTTAATTATGTAAATATTATACATATATATAAATATCACTTGTTTTTTAAGGGTTTTTTTTAAGAAGCAGTCAGGGAAAATTTTATGCAGCCATGTAAATACAAGCACTGGATTGACTTTTCTCATTGTCAGCAAAGGGGACAAGTGGAGGATTTTCCAGTGAAAACACATAAACGCTTTAAGAGACTTTCCCTCACCTCTGGGCTCGTGCTGGCATTTTTAAATACTACATGTGCAGAAGGAAAGGACAATTGGTGTGGAACATGCCCCAAGCTGCTCTATTCCTATAGAATAGAAGGCAGGCAGTGCATGGAGAAGCAGAGCAGCAAGGCCAGGGCTCCTGGTGGGTTGGAGTGTTTTGGCAGGCAGGAGGAAGAGGCAGCTCTGGGGTCAGACTGATGCCTTGCTCACTTTGTGCTTTCTCGTTGGGGATTTGGGAGCAGGGGGTGAAAGCATTGTGCCTAAACAGAGGAAAAATGCTGAATTTTGTCCCTTATTGCTGCAAAGCCTCAGCCATCACTCCTAGTGCACTCCATCCATGACAGCACCCCATGTGACAGCCTCTGGATCCTGGCTGCTTCCAGCTTTGCTTTCCCAAAGATGCTGCCTGAGCCCGTGCTGCTGTGGCTCCTCCTGGATGAAAGTGGGAAAGGGCAGAAGCGGCTTTTCCCACTGGAACATGAAGGAGCAGGGACTGGGAAGGTGGAAGGTTGGGGTGGGGCAGGGAAACAGCAATCTTCAGGTCCCTCAGTGGCAAAATCACCTGGCTCTTGGGGCAGTCCTAGGAGATTGGGAGAGCAAACTGCTTTGGTCCATGGGGTGGCTCCTGGATCTTGGAGAGGCAAGAGCTTGGGATGGATTTTCTGTCAAGCAAGTGCACCTGCCTCCCTGACTTTGTTCCACAGCTGACCTGTGCTGGAAATTCAGCTGGAAACAGAAATAGCACCCAGCCCTTACCCCATCAACTAAGGGAGCCTGGCAGTGGGGCCAGGCTATGGTGGCAGGTTCTCATAGGTGGCCAGAGTGTGTAGACTGTGAGTAGCATGGTACCAAGTGAAGTGTACAGTGCTGCCATGTCCTCCTGGGATCAGCTTGCTCTGCTCCCCCTTTCCAGGCAGCCTGGGGCACTGCATGGGCAGAATGAAGCCGCTGCAGCTCCCGCACGGCCGACAGACCCGCTGTGTCCAGGCAGCAGGGACAGGAGTGACACATCCCCCTGTGGGGACATGGCTTCCCTTGCTCCCAAACTGACCTGGAGGTGCCCCCAGCCCTCTCTGCAGAGCACAGCACGGGCAGGTCTCTTGGCTCAGCTCTTCCGTGCTTTATCACCCAGCTCAAGTGAGCGAGGACAGAATTAAAGCCCAGGCAGGTGGAGGGGGAGAGGAATCCTTTGAAGGGGTGCTTTGGCTCGAGAGCAAAGCCGCAGCCAGGCTGTCCCGGTGGCACGAAGGCCGGGGGATTTGGAGAACCTGTCTGGGATGGCTGGCACCTGTTTCCCATCACTTAACACACAGCAGAAGACAATCGCTGGCTCAGCAGCACAGGGATATACGGCCAACAGGTGACCGGCCCCGCTCCTCCCGGGAATCACCACGCGGCTCCGGCGCCGGTGCGTGGGACAAAGAGGGATAAAGGGATCCTTCCTGAAATCACCAAGCTGCTGCATGTCTCAAAACTCGCTGTACCTCTGCTTTGGTTTGGCTGTGCCACACGTGCCACCTCCCCGTGCTGTTTCCCTGTGGTTGGTTTAGGTTTTGTCACCCTGTAGAGTCTCACGGATCCTGTCTGGAGTGGAGATGGAAGATTTCCCTGGAGTGATTGCCCAGCAACAAACTATTTTTATTTTTTAATTTAAAAGGAAAAGATTCTTGCATCTGATGGTCAACACTAGTCTGTAGCTGCTCTCCAACACTTGTACCATTCCTGAGTTGGATTTTTTTGGACTATCCTTTTATTTTTTTATTCCTTTGTACAGTCAGTGTTGTTTAACTGATTCTACATGGTTTTGTTTTGTATAAATTAAAGTCTTTTTGTTTGTTTTGAACTACCAGTTGAAAAGAGGAGAAGTTGTATCCATTTTTGTGTGGGCTGGGAAGAGGTTGAAGGGAAAAAGGTGGTGGTTTGCCCATGCCTGTGCATTTGGGACTGTTTGTGGTACAAGTGTGTATTTCCATTTCCAGGTCATCCACAAAATAACTTGAATCACATTTTCTGGGGAGCCATGATTCCTTTTCTGTAGATGCAGAAGATAAAGCTGGTTTTGATTCTCATAGAACCACTGTAGGGTAGTGGAGCCCTAAGAAAACACAAACTCGTCTCCAACAGGGCTGGTCCTGTAGGTGGCTGGAGGAAGCCAGGCTCTCCAGCAGTTTGCCAGGAATCGTGCCCAGTCCCTGCTCCATGGGGACAGGACAAGTACAGTCAAACCCTAAATCCCTTCTTTGGGTCTGGGTGATCCTGGGGGAGCAGCGAGTGCTGTGGCAGCAGTCACCCATCCTGGCCAGACTGGAGCAGGCTGGCAGCTGTCCTGGGACAAATGGGAGAGGATGCTGCAGGGAGCTTGGAGCACCAGTGTCACACCAGGGTGGCCTTTGGAGGCACCAGGAGCCCCAGAGAAGGGGGATTTGATCCTGGGGTGGAGGGAGACTTCTTGTCTGATCCCCTTCTCCCAGCCTACCTCCCCTTGACCTCCCTTTTCCCGTGCCTTCTCACTTCCCTAGGATCAGATTTTCCACTTCGTACCAGACTGGCCACGCTTGTTTTAACAGCTTAAGCAGTAATTGCTGGGGCTGGGAGGGGGCAGGGGGAAATGAGATCGTGTCTGCAGCCTGGAAAACCCTGGAGCTAAGGTGAAAGCCTGGTCAGGGAAGAGTCACACAGCCCTTTTTTTTCCCCTTTTTCTTCAGGGGGTTTGGAAGTGTGTGTTGCCTCTCCCAGGGCCGAAACAAAGGCTGTGTGTGGTTTCAGGTGGGGTCGGGACAGCCGGAGCCCATTACGGCGGAGCAGCGGGGGCTGCGGGGCCGCAGCTGTCTGCTTGGGAAGAGCAGGGCAGGAAAACACTGCACAGCCTGAGCGGGGTGGGAAGGCTGGGAGAGCTTCAAGGCTCTCTGCTCCTTGAAGAAAAGAGGAGAGAGAGCAGGTTGCTCTGCGATGATTCACGTCTTTGGTCACTGTGTTTCTCTGCACCCGCCTTTCTGATGTGAGGTTTCTTGGGTTGGTTCCACTGTCCCACGCAAGCTGGGAAGAGGTGATGCAACTCCCTGCATCATGCAACTGCAAGATGCTTGCAAATGAGGCTGCTGCTGCCCACGGGTGCGTTGGAGGGGCAGGAGCCTGCGGGGTGCAGCAGGTCCTGGGAGCAGGAACATGTGGCACAACACCCTTCCCTCCAGGACATGGTGCTGAGCCAGTTCCTTGTCTTGGAGGAGGAAGATGAAGTGTAAAACCCTCATCTATGTCTGGGATCTTTGAAAGTGACTCCAAAAATCCCAGTTCTAGAGTGCAGTTGGTGCCTGGACACATGGAGGTGAACAATTGGGAACTGTTGAGATGGTGGAATTGGTCAGGGTGGGAAGAGTTGCTTTGTCATTCACCTTCAGCTTGAGAAGCACTAGAAGAGGCTGGGTGGGGGTCCCAAGGTGTGTGTGAGGATTTCCAGTTGTTGGCAGCAGCTGCCATTGCTCCATCCAGCCTTGCACCACTGAGGTGAAGGTTCCTGGCTTGTCCTGGCAGCTTCTGATCTCGAGAACAAGCGTGAGGCACCTTGGGTCTGGTGTGAGATACATGTGAGTGACCCTCTGGGGCTGCTGCTCTGGCTCTGGAAAAGGTCAGTGGGGCAAGAACCAACCCAGCCCCTGGCACTGGCATCGTGCCAGCCACACGGAGCCCAGCCATGGGTATGGGCAGAAGTTGGGCTCCAGCTCTTGTTCTCCCTTCCCTCCTGCACCAGCCCCCCTGGAAGGACCCTGAGACACCCCAAAGTGTCCCTGTGCCTCTGGGCTGCATTCCTGGGGACCAAGGTGCCATGTATGTGCCACGTTGCTTCCCAGCTGGAGTTTGTGGGTTTGTGGATCAGGGGTCTCCAGGCAGTGGGTGCCTGGCTGGGTGGGTCTGGGGGTTTCAGGCTGCCAGGGAATGCAGGGTACAGGCCCCAGCAGCTCCTGCCTGGGCTATCCTGGAGTGCAATTCCCTGTTTGCAAAGCATGAGTGTCCCAGGGCAGTGTCACCTTCCCTCAGTATCCACAGCTGGATGGACCCTTGGGTGGCTGTTTGGCTGTGGAATGGGATTCAGGGCACAGCCATGGGATGTGCTCCAGCCCCCCAAGGGCTCAAGGCCAGCTGGTGACAGACCTGACTTTGCTTTGGGGTTTTGGGCCCCGGGGAGCCCCAGAATCACCATGGGAGCCCAGAGCCAGCAGCAGTGCAGCTGTGTGGTGACCCAGGCAGGGAAATGGCAGGGGTGGCCGGTCACAGCACCGTGTCCATGGTACTGGCTGGAGGTCACCGTGCCAGAGCGTTGTGGCTGTACCCTGCTCACACCCGCGTGGCAGTGTTGAGGGTCCCCCAAGTCACCTGGTCTGGGACAAAAGGGCTTCCCCAAGGAGCCACAGACTGGGGGAGCACCAAACCATTGCCTGCAAAAGCAGCTCTGGGGTGGGAGCAGGTTGGATCCCCACCCACCCAAAAAAAAAAAAAAAAAAAAAAAAAAAAAAAAAAAAAAAAAAAAAAAGAAAAAGGAAAGGGCTCACCCCATTTTTTTTGTCCCCTCCACCACCTGCTCCCCAAGAGGGGAGACTGGAGGTGCTGAGCTGCTCCCCGGGGCAAAACGCCCTCGGGTTTGTTGTTTCACAGGGGCTGCAGACCCCCCTCAGGGCTGAGGCTCTCACCAGAGCCGGAAGAGTTAATGCTCCCAAAATGCCATGAAATGTTCCTGTTGCAGGTCAGTCTCCATCGGGGATTAGGGGGATCTGGCCGGGGAGCCGGCTCCTGCCAGCTCGAGGCTGGTGCGGGACGTGCTGGTTGAGCCTAAGCACAATGTGCCGGGCTCTGGTGTGGCTCAGGAGACATCCTGGCTGTAAATCACCGGGGAGGGAGGGCTGGGAG